ATAATTTTTCTAAATAAAAACTCATAACTATACTTATGATCTCGAAAGTAATGAAATAAAATTGTAAAATTGTGACCTCAGAAAATTATAATTTATCACAATTATTGTCCAACAGTGACATAGTTTGGAAATACTGATCTATATAAATAATTTCGTGAAATTTAACAAATTCTTATTAAAACTATTCACCGTTATGATATACACTGTAAAAATGTTCTTAAATTTTATTAACTTTTAAGTTACACAATTTGAATTTAATTTTATGACATTAAATTTAATGTATTTATAACTAAAAAGTATATATGTGTGTACATGTACATAAAATTTCATAAATTTAATATACACGTTCATTTCATGTAAGTAACTACTGTAACTTAATTTTCAGTTAAATCATCCATTACTTTAATTTCCTTCATAACCACGAACTTCATTTACATGTAAAAAAAGCTCGTGATTACATTTCTAACAGTGTATTGTAAATTTAATACAATAATATTATGAAGTTAGAGATTAAAGCGATAATTTTTAATTATAGACTATCTTCTAATAATTTTCAAAAATGTTGAAAACTGTTTAACATTAATATAAAAAATTATGAGACATGTGGAAAATTTTATAAACTCCATGCGATAATTTAATTTGTATTATTTTTATTACATTACTTTTATAGATTCTAAAATCTAGCTAAAATGTATTTATAGATTTCCAAAATTTAATCATTTATGATAATTTAGTATTACGTGTTATAATATTATACAGCTATCACTCTCTGTCTTTATTTACTACCGTTATTTGACATATCTGTTAGTACATCACGTTTCACGCATTTCAAAGCGACGTGAATATGTTGTAAAGGATTCTGCGGGAAACTGACATGGAATGCGGGATACGGGAGAGAAGCAATTCACAGGAAAAATAATATCTACTCTATAACATGATATAAGATCATGTGAATATTTTTTTTTTTTTTTTTAGAATGCTTATGAGAGAAAAATAGTTGGTATTAGTAATAATAACTACATACATTTAGTTCTATCAACAAATATATGTAATTGGCAACAAAAAATGACTATAATTATAAAAATACAAAGATAAAACTGCAATTATAGCTATTATTACCAGCATAAGCATGATTATAATTAATATAAATTACAATGATTACAATTATTTCTATGATAATAATAATAATAATAATAATTTTCGGTTGCCAATTATGTATATTTGTTGATAGATCTATATATGTAGTTACTATTACTAATATTATAGCACAAATTATAATTATAGTATGTAATTATAGTTACAAATATCAAAAATATTTTTTCAGTGTTATTATTGAATTTGATATATTATTAGATATATTCTAATTAAACGTACGGCAGCGATCTAAAAGAAATTGTTAATTTAATTGTTGATTATGTCAGAAATTCAGCAAAATTAACAATTTATGTTTCGGTCATCTTATTTAGACATACGATACGTTAGATGCACCATTTAGTTCTGAGCATCATTTCCTTACCGATATTTATATGTACATCGTTTGTTCGTCTCAGCGCTAAATCTCCGCCTCGGTTAATTCTCGTTTGTCCGTCTCGGCCTACTCTGTCTCTCAAACCCAGCTCCATGCTAATGCAGGCTGCAATTTGTATAATTTCGAAATGGGTTAAGCACGCGTCGGAGCATCCGAGGTCGATAACTTTTTCTACCTTCACGATAGAACGTCGTTATCTGCACGTGCTCTTCCGCAACGATGCTCGTTCCAAAGCATAGTACTTACTTTACATTTTAATGTCTCTGGAGTCACGTCGACATCTCGAAGTGTTACTAATTTCATGGCCTTTAACTGTAAACTCGCCGATCACGCTTCCTACCCACATATGTCGAGTGAAACTTCTATGACGCACGTATTTTGATCGCTACTTTTACAGAAAGATTATAACGATCGCAAATTTTGTAGTATATTTATAATAATAATTGAATATATGATAACTAAATTGTAACCAGACAACCAATTCCAATCGAGTGATTTTGAATGGTAATGGCAATCATGAAGCACATAGCATTAACGCCGTTAATCGTGATTGCTGAAGCGTTAAGACGTTGCGATAATCAATGCTGTATATAATGTAATATAGTTAACTGTTATCTCCCTTAGTATATAAAAGAGAAAATAAATGGTGTCTCCCTAGAATATTGTATAATTTCAGAAACAAAATTTTACTAACGATTCTGCACTCTTATTAAAAACATAACATTCCCATAGAAAAATAGAACAAAAACTGAAAACAAACTTTTTAATTTTTAATCTCTACATCTCGAAATTAATTCGGGAAAGAAACGTTATCTGTTAATTACCTAAATTCGAAGTATCAATATAACAATTCCATATAATTTTCATCATTTTCCATTTTAAAATTTTAACGAAGCTATAGGAAAAAATATCTACAAGATTTTTATTTTGATTGACATTAACTTTAAAAAGTCTTTACTATATCAATTAAGAAATTGAAACCTATTATCAATATATATATTAGTAATTATACAGTTGTCGAATCGTTATTAACGAGCTCGGAAGACAAGCAAGTGCACATAGTATTTTGTACTGTCGTACTTGCGAGATCTCCTCCGTCGTGCAAGAAGTTTCAACCGACGGGAGCTATAAGTACCACCAAGTGCAATAATTATCATTGTTACAGTCCGTTTCTGTGCGCCCATAAAAACTTTATGCATACGTAGCAAAATTTAACTGCGAGTGCTACTAATTAGCGGCGTTAAATGCAACGGATGCTTACAAACGCAAACAGCGTTTCCATCGTAATACTTCAAGTTATCTTTGAACAACGCTCGTTGAACATAATATAAATATAAATATATTGTCATACTTCCATAAAAATTTGAAAATATTTTAGTAAGAAAGTAAAATATTTTTTTAAACAAATTAACTCTTTAATATTTAGTTACCACTTAAATTTAAGAGAAATGATTTGTATAAAAACAACACTCAAAATTTGTAATGCGGCAAAATATTATTATTAACAAGATAGAGAACATTCTTTCTCTTATATATAAATTACTGACTTTACCAAGTTATTAAATTTTTAAGATAAACATTCAGCGATCGGATATGTACCTAAGTCTGGACACATATATACAAAATTTATTATTATTAATCTCAAATGTTTTTTTTTATTACAACATTCTAATTTACAACATTCTAATTTAATCGTATTTAAAGATTATAAATAATTATAGTATTATGATTTTAAAAAAACATTTGATATTAATAATAATATAAGGAAATAAAGTTTTATGTAAATATCTGGACATAGGTACATATCTAGTCATATTCTCTCTGGGATGTTTACCTTATTTCAATTTTTGTCAGAGACGTGTATTTAACTTTCATTACTTTATTTTTTTTCCTGACTTAATACGACTTAACGACAACTTCACGTACATATAATCAATCTCTACGTAATATTTATAAATTTGCACTCCTCACAAATATTGATGCAAAAAGTTTTGAATTGCATTGGCGAAATAATGACATAATCTACATATATCCGTAGATACATTGGATTAATCTGGCGCAAATTTCCGAATTGATTTTTCGATAAATCTCGTGACACATCTGAACATATAAAACCAAAATCACTTAAACTACACTAAAGCCATAGAAATTCCATCAGCAGTGATGGACATCCATATTTGGCGAATAAATCACTGTTTGCAGATATTCATGCAAAGCCATAAATCGTAATCCTTCTGTATTCTGAATGTTCTGAATGTTCACGCGCCATATGTTCTCTCAATCTCGCGAGTGATAGCAATTGGTACAAAAAGCTATCAAAAATATATTTTTCATATTTTTCTTATTACTTGATTTTTTTTAAATTTATACAATTAATTTTAATTAATAAAAGCATAAATAATAAATATTATTACAAAATCTCGAGACGCAATAAGAGAGACGTTATCTTATGATTGATCATTTACTCGCGCAATCAACTTTTTCAAGAGGCAAAGAATGGCTTATTTTTCTTTCATCTCACCATAATTACTTTTTCACATCATAAAAGGTTAGTAAAAGAGTCCATGATTGCGAAGAGTGTGTAATATCACTAATGTGAAGACTCTTTTTCTTTTCCTTTGCAATGCTTTTAAAACTCAATTCAGTATCTCGACAATGTTAATCGCGACCACTTGCGAAAGTCCTGGGCGAAACGTTGGGGATGAATTTCGCGAAAAAGAGAAGCAACCCATTCTTTATGACCTCTGTACAAAGTGCAGAACGGCGAGATGGATTTTTCTCTTCGAAGAAACACTTCGAAGCGAAGAGTGAATGAAGAGTCATCCAGTAATGTCGAAGAAACAAACTTTTCACACGTTCGAGAGACGTGAAAAGGCATCATAACGCGATTTCCTACGACGGATCTCCATTATTCTTTACTTGACTCGAAATACAAATCATTTCTCTTAAATTTAAGTGGTAACTAAATATTGAAAAAGTTAATCTATAAAAAAACGATTTTATTTTTGTACTAAAATATTTTTAAATTTTTATAGAAGTACAACAATATATTTACTAGTGCCAATAAATATTCACAATACGCTTCAGAATGCGACCTTTTTTCGAAGCAAACCAGCTGCGCCAATTTATTTCGTTCTGCGGTATCGGTTATCATCATATCAATTAACCACGTAATCTCTCTTTCGATGAAACTTTCAACAACATATATTTCGAATACGAGATGCATAAATCGTGAACATGTAATAATACGAAATGTTGCTATAATAACTCGTAATTATTGTTTTTCATCAAATATAAAATCTTTATATTTAGAATACATGAAATACGGCATTGCGTAAGCTCTCTATCATGTATACTGAAAATCGCAATAAAACAATTTGCTTGCTGATGTTTTCAAGCACAATCGATATTTTGAATCTCGATTACAAACTCAATTATCATTAACACGAATTATCATGAATGTTTGTTTCAGGAAGCGAAGCGTGGTTGAAAACCGTGAAGCTTGCTGAGCTCGGAACAGAGATTTTACTGCCCTGTGTCCTGAAATCACCACAGTGTGACGGTCTGCACAGCATCAAGTGGTATCACGGATCCACGAGGATTTTCATTTTCAGTGAGGATGCTGGGGTTATACGCGGCAATAACGACATTGCTGCTAGGTAATTAAAGTATTATATTGAGACTTGAATGCATAATACTAGTGGGTTCAGCTCGTGCCTTGACTTAATTAGGCTGCCTCTCTCTTATATTTTTTTTTTTCTAGAAACTAAGCTAAATTTCATTATTCTTCAATATATTTAATGGCGTTAATTGAATCCGTAATATTAACTTACTAAAACTTACGATAATAATCACTAATTTTACAATGACAAAAACAATTAAAGTCGTCTTTTTATATTTAAAAATGTTATATTAAACAATTTCTTCATTAAACAAATCTACGTTATATTTCTATATTTCTACACATATTTTTTTTAAATTATATAATTTTTTATTATATTAATATTTATATAGATGTTTATTGAGATGTAATATTTTATATAAATATCTATTCCTATTTTACGAATATTTCAAATTTCTTGTTTGAGTAAAAGAATAGTAATGAAAATATTATTAGGTGTTGGAATTAATTCGTAGCGTTTTACAAGTGATGGGAAGTACTTTCATTAATGTATTTTTTAATGCTCATGTGAAATAAATAACATTCTTTCATTAAAAACGCTACGAATTAATTCCAACACCTAATAATAAGAAAATAATTTTCTTATTATTTCCATTGATATTTTTAGACTTGCTATCTTTTGTCTAAACAACATTAAAAATACTACAGAATATATTATGCAACTGAATTGCAAATAGGTAACCCAATTTCTTGAATCATTTTCGATTTTGATAATTTGCCGATTTCACGATTTGAAACTATCATGATTATGCTCATTCCGGGGTCACCACTCAATAATTGCGTTTTGTGGTTCATGGTCTACATTTATAGAGCATGTAGCTTCGAATACGTTAAATGCATTAAATGCGCACATGTGAATATACACATGTGAATATTTAGTGCATGAAACTTCCGATTGGTAATTATCAAAGTCTCTGATTGTTTTAATAATATCCAGCTTGCGCCATTATTCCTATAGTTGATTTAATACAGTTTACAATTTACATATTGTTTGCATACAAAATCATTAACACGTACTGATACTCTTTCAATTATATAAATATGAATATGGATAGTAATAATTAAATAATAAATACGTTAGTAAATAAATTAATTAACGAATTAATGAACATAAAGTAAATCTTTTTAAGTACAGAATTTTTTAGTATATTATTCTATGTATTTATGCTATGTTATATTAAAAAAAGTACTATACAATGTTATAAAAAGTAATGGAAGTTATTTTATTAATGATAAAAATAATTTAATTAATTATTTGGTTATAAATATTGTACATTTAGTTTCAAATAAGACAATCTCATTACCTTCATTAAGTCAATTAGCTACGTCTTTTGATTGTGATTCGACTCTGATGTAGTTATTTGCCCCAGTCGGTATTGCACGTTGCAATTAGACATACGAACTCGAATCTGAAGTATTCCTTAGAGATTTCATCTGATAACTGTGTTTCTCTCTGTGTATCAAATTTACATTAATTAAAATAAACTCACCAATATCTTTAAATAATTAACACCAAAAAGCGACATACTTTATTGAATAATGATTAATAATTTTTACATTTATTTCTTCAATTTTTTAGGCTAATTAATTAATATTTTTGTAAAAATTTAAATAAAATAATTCTATTTCTCTTTTGAATTAGAAATTAAATTGAATTAAAAATTTAATTAAAAAACTTACTTAATAGATTTTATTTTGTAATGTAAAAAAAGATATCACTGCTAATTTATTTGCAAAATTTATATCTGAAAAAGACGCAGAAATTATAGAACAATCATTTATACATTAAAATGATTGCTACACCTGTAATATAGGTGATATAGGTAATATAAGTGAACCACGAATTAAGGTAACACGGCTGATATTACAAAGGAAAGGCACAAATTAGCCGTTAAGTGATTTTTATTTGATTTCATTAACATGCTTCAAGTCACTTATCATTTTTTTTCTTCGCCTCACGTATGTATTATTTAGTGACATAGCAATGATATGATATGGATACACGTAAATTCAGTACTTTTTATAAAAATGAAATTTATTTAAGTATAATATTTTATGTTTTGCTATAAGCAGATGTGTGTGTGTGTGTGTGTGTGTGTGTGTGTGTGTGTGTGTGTGTGTGTGTGTGTGTGTGCGCGTATGTGTGTCACTGTGTCAGCTTCGTTGGTTACATTGGAAAAAAAATTTAACGAGAAAACGTTCCATTTACATTGTGCATTTTATATTTTATTTGTTTGATATAACGTACTCTCTTGCTGCATCTGAAAAATAATAAAATTCTATGATGATGTGATAATAATAAAAATAAGCACAATTGATAATTCTATACATATATTCATATGTATTGTATAAAAGGCAATCCTTGGAAATTCATTTGTACCTTCTTTAATATAATTTTTATAATGCGGTATTTTTTTATTTGAAGAGTACGTGAAATATAAAATATTTTATAAGAGTATTTACATAAAAATATTTTTATTTGCGAATTTATTTATTTATTTTACTTTAGTAACACACATAAATTTTTTATTACAATAATATCGGATCGAATTTTTATTCTGCATTATATTTGAACTGGCCTTGATATATAGTATAGATTTTCAATGTAAAATTTAATGTAATTTTTTGTAAAAGCCCTATATCTATTTGCCATTACGAGCTTTAGTATACACTTTGCGGCAGAGATCTTCTATAGAGATGATCCTTTGATAAACACTGAATTCCTGTTACAATATATTCCCAGGATCTCTCAGAGTTTTAGTGAAATATTACAGTCATAGTTCTCAAACGAGATGTTTGAATCACAGTGAAGTGCGTTTTATGTAATTGGATAATACTTGATTAAAATGTTATCCTCCACGATTAAGCAAATCTATAAGCGTTGTTATATGTGCATTAAAGAGATTGTAATGTATAATTATAACATTTTCCGCGTTTATTTCGTTACATAAAACAAATTAATAATTCTCTATATATATAAGATTTCTGTTAATAAGTATCAGCAATTAATTATTAGCGATGATAAAACTTTGATGATTATTACTATTGAATAGTATAAAAAGCAGATATTATTTTTTAATAATAATCTTTATCTGCTTATTAAAATGGAACATTCATTTTTTATGAAATTTGTTTTCTCTAATATTGTATTTCCCATTATGGACTAAATCTTTTGTTATTCATCTAATAGATAAGCAGAACAATATTCAGTGATTAAATCGTGAATTATACATTTTTTTCGTGAATTATGTACAATATATATGTTACATTTACGTGAAAAACACTCTGATTTATATGCGAATATTATGCGCAAAATTTTCTATAATTGCAGTACGAAATATATTTTGTTAATGAAAATGTAGAACGTATCTTTCTGATATTTTATAATATAATCTAATATTTTATAATGTATATTCGAATGAAAAATAAAATCAAATGTGAAAATGTTGTATACTATTGAAAAAAATAATACATTTTATTTGTATAAAAGTACAATATACTAATTCCATTATAAAAATAAGACATATAAAGAGACATTACGCTTTTATAATGCTAATGCAAAATATAATATTTCTCCTATTTTTAGGATTTTATAATGCGACATACCTATTACCCAGATTAGTTGGAATCCGGATTTAAAACTCAAAAATGTAAAATATGTTGTGTGTGTTGCTATCGTACATATATGTGCTACTTTACTATTTTTAGGATGTTATATAAAGAATAAGTTCTCTTGGCAATGTTATTAACTATTAAAAAGAATGTTGTATTTATGACATTCTGAAAACGGCATATTTATTTAAAAATATAAAATAATTTTGCTTTGCGAAATTATTTCGAGTAGAAAAATTATTTCACATTTTAACATTTCAATAATATAAAAGTAACGGCAACTGAAAAAAACTAGAAAAATTTCATTCACAAAAAGATAATATATCTTATGGATAATATATCTTATTCAGACACAAAAGATAATATATCTTATGGATGCATGTTTATTGTAGTTTCTAGCATTAATCATCTAATTACACGAGGCTGCAAAAGATACTTAGTTTCATGTAGCATGATGTCGCTGATTAGCGGTGTGGCACATTGTCGCCAACAATGCGCTAATGACGCCGTAAACGGTTCGTCGATCAAACAACACGTCGAAATGTCGGTTTACCGCGATCACCCGCGTTTCATACCAATGCAGAATTTGCGGTTTGCAAAAACAATGATTCGTCGGATGTTATACGTTTAATTGGGGAAACCGAGAATAAAAGCAACACAGACGTTTTGGTTGAAAACTGTTTGTGCCAATATTTAATCTGGTTAATAAAAGCGGAACATTGGATTTCGGAACATTGTGTGATTGTATGAATGTACATATATAGCATATAAATGGTACATACACTACCTCAAAAGTTTCAGCATATTTTTAGTCTTATATTTTTATTAATTCTATTTATTATTTATAAGATAGAAAATTATAATAAACTCTCTTATTTTCAGTCACAAAAGTATTCAATAAAATTGCGAATTGAAAAGCAATTAAAAACGGAAATTGTAAAATCAATCTAGAAATTAAATGTCTATAACGGTCGAAGCTGAATCTTCAATGCTTAAATAATTCAATCTTGAATTACTGTATATATTACATATATACCATATATACTTGCATATATACCATATATGTATTATATTTATAGTCCTTCGTCTGCGCCGAATTATTTTTCCAGACTACAAATGCAATCAAATTACTTTAGTAATCGCGGATTAAATTGACAAGCAATTTTAATAATTTGATGTTCAATCAGGCATTATATTATAAAGATATATATAATATATTGAAAAACTATTAATAAAATTATAAATAAATCTTTCATTCAAATAGATGAATTATCGGTTAAAAGAAATATCTCTGTTTCAAATTTGGTGCTATAGATAATCGGTAAATATTTGAATATCATAACGACTAACAATAAGAAAATGAAAACAATATATTTTCATAGAAATTAAGCGCCAGATTAAAACATATGTCTTTAATTAAAGCACTTGAAGATTATATCGATAGAATGCCAAGAACATTTGGCTTCTGTTTCCAAAACCCAAGAAAATTAAGCTTGAAGATATAAAAAAATCTGAGAAAAAATAAGTTCTTTTTTCTTCATTTTATAGTAAAAATATATAATAATAAATTAAAAAGCAAATTATATTCGTATTTTATTCTTTATATTTATATAAGATTTCTATAAAGAGATTTTTATGATGAAACTTTTGAACGGTATATTGAATATTGATAATGTATATTGAATTTTTTAATCAAACATTTAAAAAAATATTATATTCGCCAATATTAAATAAACTGCATAATCATATACTTACCATTATAATTTTGTAAAGAAAGAAAAAGAAACATGATTTGAATTCATAATTTCCTTTATTTTCTTTTGCAATGTGCATTTTTGAATACTTTCTCGTTCATTCATCTTTAGATAATAAGTAATCAATTTAATGGAGATGTAAACTGTATTGAGTTGTCGGTATTCAAGAGAGATGTGTCCCGATTTCTGTACTTATGTGTCGATGAATATACTCAATATCTATTGACAGAATATCGAGTGAGATCTATATAGATTGACTGCGTCTGCTTGCCATTTACGGATATAAATGGCGAGACCTTCGGTTAACGTCTTGTTGCTTCACAGTTTACCCATCATACATTAATAGTCTGCGAAGGATGCATTTGCATCGTGATCAAATTGTAATTACGAGCTTTCAGGATTTTTGTGGTTACTGCGTTACAAACGTGTATATAATGCAATAATTACAAAAACATGTGCAATTTATCTTTATTTATCATAAATTACTAATGCATATTCAAAGAATCATATAAAAAAAATTATTCGAGACTGTTAAACATTTCTGAAATATGCACTCTCTAAATTCTTTGGAATCTCATTCTAAAAAATAAAAATTCTGCCACTCTTACACTGAAAAAGAATTTATCATATCTTAATAAATACTTTTTTTAATATTTGTAAGTAAACATTTACTTACAGTAAATAAATATTTTAATGAAAAAAATGATAATTAAATCAAATTAATAAGTCTGTATTAAATAAACATATGCTAATATTCAGTAAATGTTTAATTACAAATAAAAAAATATTTATTAAGATATAGTAAACTTTTTTTTAGTGTAAAAAATAGTGGCAGAATTTTCAATCTTTAAGAATGACATGATTTTACTCTTTAGAGTGAGATTCCGAAAAATTTAAAGAATATGCATGTCTATATCAAATGTATATAATATGTAAACATTGTAAACAGAAAACAATTTGAATTGAACATATAATCGAATAGCAAGGTACATGACGATAATACCACTACCTTATCGTCGCAAATGGATTGTACTACTCCGGCGAGATAACAAGCAGATTAATTTCATTGATTGTTCGATTCATTACCCGGTGTTAATCGCAATTTGAGATTGACATTACGTGAGATCATTATACTTGCATTGGCATGAACCACATAATAGTTATACCCTGTGATCGTCATTAATAAAGTGCATGAACAATCAATGTATTCGATTAATAAAAGCTGCGCGTTATAATTGTGAATGGCATCAATTGTACAAAAATGAAGTTATCATAATGTAGCAAGCAAATTTTATATATCATATTTTAAAGGAAATATATTTGCCATTGTTGCCGCGTGAAATGCTTACCTACTAAAAATGCATTAAATAAAGTGTTCTGTCATTGTTACCGTCGCATTATAATTTCAGTACTAACAACCATTTCGGATACATTATATTAAATTAAACATATCAAAATTTCAAACAACCAAAATTAATTAAAAAATTATTACCTTTTTAATTAATTCCACGCTTTCTGTAATTTTCTAATAGTAAAAATAAAAATTTCTAGTTCAAAATGAACGAAAAGATTATATCAATCAGAATTCTGGTTATCTTATCTCAATTAAAATTATAATAGATTCAATAAAAAAAAATTCTAATTTATTCATTCTTAACTAAAATTCCAATTAATGTGGACTCTTTTCCTAGTGTATGAATTATTTGCGTTATTGAAATGTTTTAGAGCGGAAATATTAGAATATTACTTTAAATTAAATAATGTTTTTATTATAATTTGAAATGAATTAAACAATATAAATATTTTACGTTTTAAATGTTTCAGGGCGGACATAGAGTATTCGTCGAATTCATCAAGATCGTATTTGAAGCTATCCGAAATTCAACTGAACAACGAAGGTCTGTATAAATGCGAGGCTACGTATATGGCGGTCAACCGCGAGTGCAACAACGTGCAGCACGTTCTTCTTAACGTCACAGGTGCGATACATTACATTATGCAGCATTACCGGAGTAAGATTAAATTTGTATATCAAACTGGATATGAGGGAGGGAGGGGGGAGAGAGAGAGAGAGAGAGCGCAATATCAAAATTTTGTGTTCTCAAAAATACGAATAAGAAATACGTCGAGTAATTTCGATGTCTTGTACGAAGTATATAAACATTTTTCGGATATTTTATAAAACGATCCTGAGAGATAAACTATTTTAAAACTTTTCGCGTAACTTCCTGCCATAAATTGCATGCCATATTTTTAGCCATACGACTTCTGTTTGTTATGCAATATCTCCAGTGTATTTACGTTCATACATCAAAAATGTAGTTGTAAGTAGCCTACATTATTGAAAGGGCAATACCAGATACAAAGTTAGACGGTTCATTATTCATACGAAAATCTGTGCACTTTATTTATGTTATTTACATATATGTTATTGACATATATTTATTTTTATACGTTATTATCGGGCAAATTTGAAGTAATAACAATATTTCTTGAAATTAACCACAATATGTATTTATATCTTTGGCATTTCGTATAATACATAGAAATTATTTATGATGTCCATACTACACTTCGAAGAGTGAAATTGTATTTGCAAATCGAAACATATCGTAGAACTCACATTTCATAAATCAAGTAATATTTATTTCAAACTAACCGTTACATGTGATCGTTCTCAATATTTCAATTTTACGCGATGTCCGAACGATAGACAACTCATTTGTTACGATCCTTTTACAAGATTGACAAAAAAATAATGATGTATTACCTTCTGAAACACCTCTCGAAAATAAAGGTCTTATTTGCATTTTACGACCAAATGTAGATCATTTAATTCGCATTTTTTTTTTGTATTGTACAGCAGTATATTTGAAGTAATAAGACAACTGTAAAGAAAAAAAATACTACAGTATTACCTACATTGAAAAAAAAGTTCAGTATTTATGGCTATAATTGCATGATAAAATAATTATAATTATAATTGTTTTAATTATCATCTATAATTACATATATATATATATATATATATATATATATATATAAAACACTTTTTTCTCAGTGTAATTATTATCTCTAGTTTAGATATTTAATAATATGAATAAAAAAGTTTCACACCTCATAGGTATATTATGCGCGACATTATTATTGTTGTTGTTAATATATTATTATTGATACATTATACATTTCCTGCGCTTGACTTCTACTGCCTATATTTTTTCCAGTTTTTTAGTTTAATAATATTCCTATTTTGAACGTATAATGTGATAGAAGATAATAAAAAACAAATCAAATGCTCAACGTAATCCTTTTATCGATGACAATTTTATTCTTTGAATTCTCAGGATCTACTTATCTGTGATTTAACTTTCTTTCGGAATACTCCTGCCTAGTTTAAATGCTTTTCTACGATTTCACTAAATCAACTGAAACATATGGAATCGAGCGTGGAAATGTGTGCATTTCACTATGCATCAAGTACTTCATTTTCGCGGAAGCTAGATAACCACGGATAATGATCTGGGTTAAACCCATGTCAAATTATACATCGATAGTTCGAGTCATACCGGATGACTCCTAACTTTCCGAAGAGTTAATATCGACAAGTTGAGCTCAAGTTAGGCTCCCACTGGAGCGATACCTCACGTACTCTGGATAAATGGAGTTATTTGATAATTCTTGATTTAATGTTTAGGTTAATCTCATAAACGCATTACAGTGATGTTTAACGACTTGCTAAATAGCTTCATTGCCATACGATGTTATTTAATTAGGTTAATGCTTCATCATCACTGCAATGTCGTGGTTTACTCGCACTAACTCATCTCATATTAAATTTATCTAGACTCCTTGCAAATTAAGGAGAGATCCCGAGAAACGCGCAATTACGAAACGTCAAAAACTTTATGTACATACAATACGTATATTCTATTGTACGTAGGTATATTCTGTTGTATCTACTAATATAATCTACTAATATAATAAATATCAATGTTAAATTTTCCGTGGAAATTTATTAATATCGAGATATAAATTTGAAAATACAAGAGACAAATACTGACTTTCGTATGCTCTTAAAAATTTTTAAATAATAAAATAAAAACGCATTTATTAAAACGTATTTATAAAAACGTATTTATATCTCGATATTAATAAATTTCCATGGAAAATTTCACAATACACTTCTATTAATTTAAATATAAAAATATTAATATAAAAGAGAGAGAAAAAATCAAATGTTTTATTCAAGCTTCTTCTTCTCTAAATATTGAGCTACATTAAAAAGTACCGCAAAGAGTACAGTTTCTGTTATCCAGAACAAAATTACGGTTTAATTATGTTATTAAGTAATTTCGTAATTGAACCCGCACTTAAATTTTATACGAGAAGATCTCTAAATTCATTTTGACAGAGATCTTTCTGCCGCAAGCTTCTCATGTTGAGCACACCCTTCATAAGTATTGTTAACTTTTAAAGTTTATGAAGAATGAGACAATCCTCCTCTGGAGTGGTTTATTCAACGAATGTAGCGATTTTCCACATACATATACGTGAGCCATCATCGCGATAGACATGTATATAAAATTCTGACTGCTGATCTGTCTTCTTCTCTGTCGTGTACCATGTCATCGCGGCAAGTTAAACGAGTAGGGTGGAGGAATTTTCAAGTATATAATCGTAACATTGTACATAATAAAGCATAAGCAGCGTTCAGAAACTTTCCATCTCTCATAATAGAGGATTGTATTCTTCTTAAACTTCCAAACGTCTCAGAAATTAATTTTGCGCTCTAATTAAAAAAATAAATAAATAAAATCGGTAGTCATTGCCGAAACTATTCTAAATGCGAATTAGACGAAGTAGTTATTTATTAATTTTATATATACTGCTTATTATTTTTATTATTATCGTTATTAATATAATGCATATTATCGTTATTAATATTAAATGAAATTATAATATTTTTTCGAAAAAAAAAGAACTTTGTCATTCATTTTTCATCACGGTAGATTTTATATAAGCGTACGATCGTTTTAAGAGATTTCCCAATTTTTATCGTTTTGTTTGATTGCAAAACCAATTGAAACACGAACGGAACACGAAAGAACTTGGAAAAAGTTGCTTTTGACGCATAGCTGATTGTGACCTCAATTTGTCGAACTTAAAGTACCTCGCGAATTTATATATCAAACCGCTTTCTTATGAGAACAAACGTGTCTTGAATTCTTTGTAACGTAATATCTTCGCGTATTTAGAGCGCACGTAATAGCACTATTATACGATAAATATTCAAACATTTTTGCGCGCAGATTACCTATATAGGCCTCCTTCAGAAATTTTGCAAATTAGAAAGAATGACTGTCTTAAAAACATAAAAAAGCAGATAAATATCACTAATCTTCTTGACAAAAGTACAACAAATAAATTAATTTCATTTTAACAGAAAATTTAATTTGAGATTTTATTAATATTTTTTAATGAAATGAAAAATAAATGAATAATTTAATTCTTGTTGAAATAGTACATTTATTACATTATTTAATTACGTTATTTTGAAGGTTATTTGGTCGAGCTCTTTATATACAATACATTCTTTTTTTTTATTGATTTGGATAATTTAATGATGATAATAATTTCAAATCGACAGTTTCAAATTTATGAATAATCTTAATAAATGTTTTAGTTCTCTTTCGTACAGCTAATTGTTTTACAAATGATATGGTTGTTCAGTGAAAAGAAGAAATGAAAGAAAAATTAAAAGAAGTTAAAAGAAGACAAATCATAATATTATTTTCCTCTAACTATTATTTCAGTTTTAATTTAGCAGCTGCTATTCTTATGTGTAATTAAAACAAAATTGTATTGAAAGAACTGTCCGAGTAATGGTAATAATAATTTTTTATTAAATTTAATCAACTCCTCGATTATCAAATTAAATTATCTTTGAAAAATAAACTAATACATATTTCATATTAATTTCGTAAGTTAAACAGAATTTATAATATACGCTCCAAGATTAAAAACTGGATCTAGTGACAAAATATTTCATAGATACATCAATAAAATTTATCTATACAGAAGAATATGCCGAAAATAGGAGCGATAATAAAAACGGAGATAAATTATACAGATAAAAATATCATAATTCATGAAAAAAAAAGTGCTACTAGATTAATTCAGCCTAATTCTCAGGATTAAATACTTACAAAAATACTTGTGATTAAGTAACGCCAATTTCGATAAAATACGAGATACACGTCGTACCCATTATACCGCAGCCTGGTGAAGCGACAACGTAAAAGTAGCTTGCAGCTCTCTTGCGACAGGCGTCGACATTAATCTACATAGAAGAGCACAGCACGAAGCTGTGCGCGAAACGGTATCACGTATCACACCCGTACTGTACTTACATACACTGAAGCACAGCGCTGTCGGATTATCTGAACACCTCATTCCAGCTAGAACATCACGCTGCAGATTTATCGTCAAATAGATAATATTATCAGGAAAGTAGAGCGCAAATAGGATTAGAACGACGAGGACCAGGAAAAGTGACTTTTAGATTCGATTACTTTTTAATGTCATAAAGACGAAGCCTAGCTTTATTTTAGTATTTTATATTATATATGATATATCGGATAAAAAAAACCAGAAGTTACATCATACGAAATTTATATTGTGCGAGACAATTATTATAATAATAGCATCATTAATTTTTACGTCGGACTAATATCTGAAAAGCCATATTTTGTATTATTCTTCCGCCTAATCGCACATTCGCTATATCATGCTATTACAAACTCACGTAAAGCTCTGCGAAATAGCTGCTGGCAAACGCTGACAGTGTAGTTTTAACTCGGTAGCGTCGCGCCGCACGGATGCGCTTTTCTGCGGGAATAGACAGTGAGCTAAAGGTATACAGTAAACCGCGAAGCACTTCTTCTTTCGTTTCATACGTGTTCCATTTTGTCGAGGGTCT